CCTGGGCCTACATACAAAAAATACACAGAGAATATATGTAATGAGAGTAAAGAGTACGCATGGAACCCTTCGCCTCTTGGGATCTGGCAATGAGTGCTCGCACAATGTAACCAAAACCTTAGACATCCACTGCTGTGACCAGCACTGTTCTGGCCCAGGGAACATTTCTCTACATGTATTGCCCTCTGTCCTTGGAATAGAAGGTGACCACAATTGCATACAGTCAAAGTTTTGTGTATTGTGACACTGCCAATGGAGGAGATGGACACTTCTTAGAGCCTAGGAGAAACTACAGTGGCAGAGCCACTTCAGCAGGAGAAAAGATCAGTTAACCAATGTGTCAAATTCTTCCTCTCAGTTTAATGCAAAAGATTCTTGCACAACAAACTATCATTCCCAATATTACCAAACATCTACTTTCATTATATTCCAACCAGTGCTTCTGAAAGCTCTCACAGATTAGAATAATATTTGCAAGAGTTTTGCAGGGCTGAGAAAAACTTTGCAATATCAAGTGTTATGGGTTGAACCATGTCCTCCCCAAATATGTATCTTGAAGTCCTAATTTCCAAGCACCTCCGAATGTGACCTTATTTGGAAATAGGTCTTTACAGAGGTCATCAAGTTAAAATGAGGTCATCACGGTGGATCCCAATACAATATGACTGGTGTCCTGATAAAAAGGGGAAATTGAGGGCTGCACATGTAGGAAGACTACCATAGTGAACACCAAGGCAGAGGCTGGGGAGATGCATCTATAAGCCAATGAATACGGAAAAATTCTGACACACTTCTAGAAAAGAGAAATCTTTCCTCATAGCCATAAGAAGAAACCAATCCCATGAACACATTGATCTCATACTTCTAGCCTCCAGAACTATGAGATACTAAATTTCTATTGTTTTTGCCATGCAGCTTGTGATACTTTCCAGCAGCCCAAGAAAATTAACACATTAAACAATTCAGATTATTCTTACATTTGTATAAACCTAGGATAATGTATGAAGTATGATATTGATTTATATGATTAAATTATAATATTATGTAATATATTCTACAATAATGATTGTCATATATGATCCCATTTCCGTGTTTGAACATGACATGTATGATTCTTAGTTCATTTCCAAATTTAAGTGTCACTTTAGGAGTTTTATTGATAACTATAGTTGCCACTGGCTCTGGGGAGTGAAGTTTCTCCAAATCAAAATTAGTTTTACAATGTAAGAGTTACAGCTGGGCATGGTGGCTGGCACCTGTAGTCCCAGCTACTTGGGAGGCTAAGTTGGGAGGACTGCTTGAATGCAGAGGCAGGGGTTGCAGTGAGCCAAGGTCATGCCACTGCACTCCAGCCTAGATGACAGAGAGATACCCTGTCAAAAAAAAAAAAAAAAAAAAAAGAAGAATGACAAGGACTTACGAAATTTGTTCAGGCCAGGTGCAGTACTTCATGCCTGTAATCCCAGCACTTTGGGAGACCAAGGGAGGTGGGTTGCTTGAGGCCAGGAGTTCAAGACCAGCCCGGCCAACATGGAGAAACCCCATCTTTGTAAAACATACAAAAATGTGCCAGGCACGGAAGTGCATGCTTGTGGTCCCAGTTACTCAGAAGGCTGAGGTGAGAGGATGGCTTGAGCCCAGTAGGCAGACGTTGTGGTGGCCCAAGATCATATGCCACTGCGCTCCAGCCTGGGTGATACAGCCAGACCTTGTCAAAAAAAAAAAAAAAAAAAGGAAAAGAAAAAGAAAAAGAAAAATAAATTTGTCTAATTTAGCAGTTATCAATAGAATATACACTGTAAAAATCTTGCATAAAACTACTTAGGTAGTCATTTACCTGAAAGGAAGGCAAACAAATTTTTATGGAACTAATATATAACAATCTATGAATTATATATAATATCTTTGGCCCATGAACAAAACATCCAGACATGTATAATAATGATTAAAATAGCCATTTTTGGTAGTTCCTGGCTCTTAATCATTTAAAACACCCCATAACCTTCTATGTATTTTAAAATTGTATCATTAAAAAGGTATATTTGACACTGTGGGAGGATAGGACATATTTTATTCAACAATTTTGCTAGCTTGATTTGTAACTTTTAAATATTTAGGTATATGGTATGTGAACTTCCACTTGTACTCATGCCCCAGGTCCTATAATTGTTAGGGGTAGGCCAGGACCCAGCAATGACAGAAGAAATGAAGCCTAAATCTATGAATGGAAACCAGACTAAGATATCAAACTTCTTCCTACTATAAACTAAAATATCATTCTGAAAGCTTCATGTGGAAGCCTGATGCAGTCCCTCAGAGCAAGTGACAAGCACCTTCCTGGGCCATAGTCCCAAGGGTCCCTACAAGCCCTTCCCAGGCAGGAGTTGTATAGTTCTGTTGCCTCAGAGGACCTCAGCTCTCACCAGGTTTTATATGCCTAATGCATTTCACAGTCCTTACGTTCTGAATGTTAGAATTGGGTCATAGATGCTCCTTTTATTTCTTTTGCAGTAACTCTGTGCCACTTTCAAATAAACAGAGCAATTTACAATGGTATTTCACTCCTCTTTTGGAAATAGTAGTGTACAATTTGACAAACAACCTTCAGAGGGACCTCAATGTTGTGATATTCCCTATGGCTATCATTTTGTTATCTTCTGCCTGTCCCCTTGGAGAGAGGGTTGGCTGCCTATTGAGGGCTACTCCGAGGCTAGGGATGGGAACCAGCATTCTTTTTGGGAGTTAGTCTCAGGAAGTGAAGAACTCCTAGAGACAGGGGAAGTGGTGGCAATTAAGAGAAGAGATAAAGAGCAGGATGCATCACTGGGAAAGAAAAAAAAAAAAAGGTACCAAAATGCCAATTAGGAATGCCAAAAACAGAATGGAAATGTAACTGCAAAAGGTCCCATGGAATTTCTAATTTGAATTGCATTTTATTGTAACTCCCTGCAAGCAAACATGGTAACTGTACATTTCACACTATTACTGACTAATGTAATAGATAATCTGACAGCCAATATAAAACATGGATGCCTGACATCAAAGGATACTTTTAGCTGTGGTTGAGCATCTTTAAGGAACTTCAATACCCTCTCCATAGATATCGGTTCACAACAGCGGTATAAAATCTTTGTATAAAATTAAAAACCACGAGAGACCTAGACTGGGTTCATCAGAAAGACAGCAGTGAAGAATGAAAACTTCAAGAAGAACATAGAAGGGTATAATCATAATTTTGATAATAAAAAGAACTCTAATGTAAATACAACAGGCTGAAAGTCAACAACACAGTACTTAATAGTAAAGGCAGATTAGTGAACCACATTAATCAGCCTGGGATATAGATTATCAGCCACATTTGAAACACAGATTAACAGGAACAAATAAGGTACCAGGGTGGGAGACATTTTTACAAGTAACAAAAGTTTTAATCTTTGTTTAACTAAGACTTCAAAAGGATTCCACATATAACCAATGGTGAGACCATTAAAAAAAAACAAACAAACAGATTAGCATCAAGAAATGCAAGGCAGAGTGACCAAATTTCTGACCTGTTTTAAGATCAATCAGCATTTTCTACCTGGGCAAGTAGAATGCAATTAGCACTTGAGTGATTTTAAAGACTCTTTTACAGTTGCCTTTAACTAGCTGATGAAATAGCAGAACCGTGTGGCTGAAGGCCAATGTTTATTTTTACCCATTACCTATTTCATTAATGGGATTGCGGGCCACTGGCCCTCCAGGCACACATGAATGTATTAAAATACTCCACACTGTAATTAAGTGGCACAGAGGGGATTGGAGCAAATTAAGTGGCTGTTATATTTCCACGGGTGTAGTCTAGATCAGACATTTGGATGCTCTTGTGGCAGAGCCACAAAAATTGTATTTCAAAAGTCTTCAAAAGTCTACAGGGTATTGAGGATATTTTTTTGTAGAGTAAGAGTTTTAATAAGTGAGTCCTTCCCCCAAAATAAAAATATAGATAAAGAAAAGTGCCCCAAGTAGATACTCTTAAAGTGAAAGATGAGAATCCTTTAACTAGAACAAGGACAAATGCATCAACAATAGCATCGGTGAAAGAAATTGGACCTTTAGACTCCATTAACAAGGGACTCAAAATGAATCAAACTTCCATGCAACTGTCAATCCAAGCTTGGGACTTTCCTTCCCAGTGTAAGTTAGAACTTCTGTATTTTTATCTTATCTTATCTTATCTTATCTTATCTTATCTTATCTTATCCCATCTCATCTTATCTATGTAGAGGCAGAGTCTCGCTCTGTCGCCCAGGCTGGAGTGCAGTGGCGCGATCTCGGCTCACTGCAAGCTCCTCCTCCCGGGTTCACTCCATTCTCCTGCTTCAGCCTCCTGAGTAGCTGGGACTACAGGTGCCTGCCACCACGCCCGGCTAATTTTTTGTATTTTTAGTAGAGACAGGGTTTCACCGTGTTAGCTAGGATGGTCTTGGTCTCCTGACCTCGTGATCTGCCCGCTTTGGCCTCCCAAAGTGCTGGGATTACAGGCGTGAGCCACCGCACCCGGCCAGAACTTCTGCTTTTGAGTTTTTTAAAGGGAATAAAAAATAAAGTGATTACCTAATTGCTGCCCCGATCAACAATGAATGCATCAAAAATGCTTGCAGAAACAAAGACCGCGAGAGTAAAGGTTCCTATGCCAGCACAATATCATTTTTTTGTTTGATTTTACCAAATCAATCCATTGTTGCCACTAAATGTTAGATTCCTTCTAAAATAGGAAATGGAAGATTTTTGCTTTGATCATTCAAAATCAACATTACTACACTTGAGAATTCTGCCAATGGTGGTCTCCTGTGAATCTTTAGAGCAGAGAACAAGCAAAATGGAATGAGGGCAGGGCAAAATGGAATGACATCTGGAAACACAGTGTTTTGGCTCAAGAAGAGGACAACATTGCCTTTGCCCTAGAAAACCATGGAGAAATACTTGGAAAGGACAAGAAAGGAGATAAAAGTACTTACGAGTATCCTGGACTTGCAGTGGGAGGGGGGCCTGAAGAAATGAAAGAAAAACAAAAGAAACAGTCAGTCTGGGTTATTGGAGGGTGAGTATGGATACAGTCAATCATTACAAATTAAAGTTCTCAACCACCCAGAGGTAGTATTTATTTTTCTGAAATTTATTGTTTTGCTCTATTCCCCTAACCATCTCTATGAAAAAAAAAAAAAAAAAAAAAACCAAACCAAACCAAACAAAAAAACATACCAGTGAGAACATGTCTACGTCTCACAATTCAGGGCCTGAAAATGCTGAGACAAGTGCTCAAAAGTGAGTGAATCGAGTAAGCATCCTCAAACTATGCAGGAAGTTTCCAATGGGCTGAGCATGAAGGTGTTGATTGCAACAATGAGTGGGGCTTCCTTCTAGTTCTTGATGGCAGGAAAAGGACTATGTACACTGCAAACATTTCCAACTTCTTGGACAAGGAGTATCTTTGTTGAAAAGAGCTCAATGGCACGATGGTTTCAAGTAGGGGCTGTGAGGTCAGAAAGATTTGGACCTCCTTCCTGCTCTGCTTTTTATTAGCTGGGTAACATGGTAATTGGGTAACATGGTAACTAACTGCTGGGCATTGGTTTACTTATGTGTAAAATGGGTACAACCGTACCAGGTTTAGGGTTGTGGGCACAGAGTACATTCTCACTAAGTGTGCATTCCTTCCTTCCTGTCCCTGTGGACTCTAGTCATCCTATCACATTGGGCTGAGGGCCAAAGTCCATCCCCAGTAGGGGTCTGCTTACCAAACTTGACAAACAAGACTCCAGTGGAAGAAACCACCTCCTTGCCGTTTGTTGCCACACACTGGAAGTAGCCTGTGTCTGTGGTGTCGAGGTTTCTAATCCGCAGCCGAGAGCCATAGATGGTGGATCGAAAGGAGAGCCTCCGGGGCTCCTGGACCACAGGAGCATCATTTTTGAACCAGCGGATGGTGGGAGGTGGATTCCCAGAGACTTTGCAGTGCAGTTCTGCTGTCTGGCCCAGGGATGTGGTGATGTTATTCATTGGTTCATCAAGGGTCAGGTAAGAATCTGTGAACACAGAGAGGAGGCAGGTGAGAGTGGCAGATGGCTTGAGAATGCTTCCAAGCAGCCAAATCCTCTCCAGTGTATCCTCGGGATCACAGAGAGGCTGAGCAGGAGAGGCAGGTGAGACAAACAAGGAAAGAAACAATCACACTGACTAAGACCACAGGACTGCTAAATAACCACCCATAGAGCCTGCTGCTTGGAAGAAAATTTGTCACTAATCAGAGAATAAAACTCAAAGTCTCCAAATGACTACATGGATGAGCTTTTGTGCTTCAGATCATAAAAAATATATACATTCCTTGTTCCAAATTCCAACACAGCAAAAGAGAGAGAAAATAAAGTTCATCTCAAATCTCCCCACCCAAAAATAACACCATTTTAAACATCCTGGCAAACATCCTTCCAGTTTGCTCACTTTTGATAAGAAAGAAAGCATCAAACATTGGAAAAGTAGGAGCAACACATTCATATCCACATGGCACACGATCAGAAAGGATGCCTGAAACTTTCACGTTACTGACAACATAAGGTTATGAAGGCCAGGTCAGAGGCAGACAGAGCAATAAAGCAATGGACATTTCCATAATATTACGCATATCAACCATGACATGTTACAATATGTAATTCTTTCAATCACATATATATAGATTAATTCATATATAATACTGTGCAATATACAGATCTTAGTTATACAGTTCCATGAGTACAGGCAAATGCATACACCCATGTAACAAATATCCCTATCAAGATAGAACATTTACACCCCAGAAAGTACCCCCACAATCTTTTGTAGTTGGTCCCTGCTCCCAACCACTCCCTCCCACCCCACCTCAAAGCAACTAAGGTTCTAATTTCTATTACCATAGGTTAATTTTGCCTGTTTCAGAACTTCATATAAATGGAATCATGCTACACGTACATTTTACATTTGGCTCCTTGTAAGATTCATTGCATTATAAATTTTAATAACAAAATCAGTTTTATTTAAGCTTATTCTTCAATAAAGTATTTAAACATCAATATTAATATTAGTTGTAGAAATCAGTTGCAGAGAAAATAATGTATTTCTTTTTTTTTTTTTTTTTTTTTTGAGACGGAGTCTTGCTCCGTCGCCCACGCTGGAGTGCAGTGGCCGGATCTCAGCTCACTGCAAGCTCCGCCTCCCGGGTTTACGCCATTCTCCTGCCTCAGCCTCCCGAGTAGCTGGGACTA